CCAGAGTGCTTATTTATAATCCCCTGTCGTTTGAACTTTCCACTACACCGCACCCGAGCAAAGTTGTAGTCGTCTTAGCTTGTAGTATATACGAATGAATACAAGACAAAGGGGATTCTGTTTATCTTACTGCCTGACCAATTTAGCAAGAAAAATGCAATTTTTGGTTGTAAGCTGTGCGAACTATGAGAGGCAGAATGGCACGAGTAGTGTGGGATCGGCTGGATTCTGGAACAGCAGAACAAACCTACTCATTTCGAGCCTTTAAGTTGATCCTGCATCACAAAACCGAGTATATGTGTACCCTGTAAGCACAGTAATTTTTAGAGAGTGTAAAGAGAATTTTATGTGGAGTTTTACATGTGCTAGATTTTTTGCAATCTGACCCAAGCACAAGGACAAGTAGGTTTGTGTGAGTTCTATTTTCTCTAACTCAATACACTCTGAACCATTCTGAAATATTTTTACAGATTCTGAAGCACATTAAATAGAGGAAAATTTAGGTAGCTCATTCAATGCAATTGACGGCCTATTTATTGAAAAAAATGCATTTCTGTCGCCTTTTTTTTTTTTTTTTTGCATGCCACATGTCACAAATACACGTGATTTTGGATTTTGCCATTACTTTTGCAAATAGCTGTAAAGGTCCCATCTGGAAAATATAGAGGCTGAGGAGTACCATCTTGTAAAGAGCCAGGACGCATTCCAGGAAGAGGTGGTGCTCTTTTACTGTTCCATTTACATTGATTTCTAGGCATGTACCGGGCAGATAAGGCATTTGAGTGATGCTTTGTATGAATGGTAGCATTGTCAAATGCAAACAAAGCCAAACAACCTGGGAAACAGTTGTCAAAGATTGATATAGCTTTGTCAACCTGTTGAATAACATCTTGATGCTGAAAGTAACCATCCCTAGACTTTCCAGCTTTAAAGTAAATTCTAGCCTCTTGAAGTCTAGAAAAAATAGTTAGAAATGTATTAAATTATAAAATTGTAATATACCCATTAGATGAACGTAACCAGCCTTTCTCTGGTGTACAAAAGTCTGATATCATTATTGATACTCCTTCTCCTTTAACAGCTGGTTTTGGAGTAGCTGATTTATGAGTCCATACAGTTTGTTTTTGATCATTAGCATAGAATGTTGATTCATCATGTGTGACCAAGATAATGCACTGTCGAGTTTCTGAGTTGGTTTCACCTAGGGCTCAGTACTGTATTGTATACAGATACAGGCTGTATAAAACAGACCATATACAGATACGGGACGTATAATACAGTACTGTATTTTTCAGCTCAAGATCCTATACAGATACAGACCATACATATACATTGTGTATACATGTATTACAGATACAGCAGGTACATAAAAGGCAGAAGAACACTTATTTTGCATAGCAAAACAACATAAGACACTGTACAGTATACAAAATCATACACATAGATGCCTAACACATATTATTCAGTAACTATTTACTCTTTAGCCATTGCTTAACCAGCATAAGGCTGCTAATTGTTTCTGGCTGTAAACTTGCTCAGTACAAGGCAATAGTATCACAACCACCAGAAAAAATTCGTTCAACCACAACTGCTGACCCTGTAACATCTGTAAGTATATTTATTGTATAGAGTAGTACAAACGCACCTGGGATACAGTGAATATCATGGGTGAAGGAGGACAACTGAGGAAATTGAGCACAATGAGCTGACCACCACTTGACAGGCTTGCCAGCATCCTATGACCTTTCCTGCTTCATGTTGAAATATTCCAGGAGCTCGTCTGTCTGCTCGTAGCTATTGTCATCAACATACTGAGCCATAAAGGCAAATGGCTTTGCTTTCATCAGAGATAGTGCATTGTCACCATCATCCAAAACCTTAGGCTCTGGTCGAGTGTGTGTCTCTTGCATTGTAGGAGGTGGATACACTGCTACAAACTGTTCTTCAAGTCCTGCTTGAGCTGATTCGATAAGATCAAGTAGCATAGTATCACTGCCTACATCCTCTCTTAGCCTCAAGTAAGAAATACGTGGATCAAGTACTACATAGGATAATATTAGTGAATTAACTGTCAATTTTGAAAGAAGTGCTTACAAGCAGCCCAGAGATAGTATGGTGAAGTAGTGAACTTATACAAATATTCTGCAAGAACTCCATGGGCATTTTTCAGGCCCAACTTAAGTGACGTAGGAGTATCTGGCAGTAGTGTTTGTAAGAATTGACGTAGCTTATCCTGTAGTTCAATAAAGCATCCAAATGCTGAAGACAATGCTGAGTCCTTTGTCAAGGACATGAAAGTAGTCACCTGGCGGAAATCACAAAGCCACATTATGATACACCAGATAAGCTTCCAGTCATCAAAATCTAGCTTAAGTGGATGAAGGTCTTTGTGCAGGAGGACAAAGCTTTGAATTGCTTGTCTATACACATAAGTGCAATCTGGAAGGACGTGGGTGAGAGACTTCCAGCACTTCCAGATTATGGTATTAGAGAGGCTATACTTACTTAGCATTTGATGTGTAGAGGACCAGCAAGTCTTAACGTCAAGGATGAGCATTAGAGCTATGCCTGGCTGCTCTGGATTACTATTGTACTTTGCTGCCTCAGCAAGCCATACTTTTTGTTGCTGAGCAGATGACTGGACTGTATGTACAATCTTTCACAACTATAATCATGTAATTAGCAATGGATAGGCCAGGAATTGTGTTACAATACCCTTTCAACAGCATTTACTGAGTATGATGTATTGCTGCTATCTGTGAGAGTATTGTCAACGTTATCATTCCGGCTAGCTTCCAAATTATTGTAATCAGGATCCAGAGGAGCAGAAACAGACTCCTGATAGTTGCTTGTTCTACAATTAGTACTCTTCAAAGCACCAATTGCATTGAGTAGCTTACATATAAGTAGTTAGTTTCAGAATATGATATAGTTTACAAGACATACCTTTAGTGCTGCTAAGTGAATAGTATGAGGCATACACCTAAGATGTGCCTCCTCAGCAGAGAACAAGATCCCCTTAGCTGTCATGTGTGTCTTGATAGTCTCCATCATTGTGTCATTGTTGGAAGCATTATCAGACATGACAGCAACCAACTATAAAAATGTTAGGATTTATATGCAAAGAGAATAGAAACATACCTTTTCTTGGATATCATAAGATTCTAGCAGCCCCCAGACAATATCCCCTAAGTTTTTACCTGTATGCCTCCCAATAATCTCTTCAAAACCTATCAATCGTTCCTCTACATTTGTGTCAGTAAGGCGAAGTCTGATTATGTAAGCAAGATGCATACTTAACTGCCACTCATTAGTAATGTAATGAGCAACAACAGTAAGAAATGCAAAGCCATTACTAGATGTCCAAGCATCTAGTGACAATGCAATCTTTGAAGTCAATCCCTAAGAGTAATCAGTATAGAAGACAAGATATCTAATATAAGCTTACTTTAAAGAGCTGCTTTGTCTCCTGAAAGGTGTCTTGTCTCATATTAAGAATGCACAGCCGAATCGTCTTTGCAGTTGGGATTGGAAGGCTTGAATCCTGGTGGACAAGCCTAACAAATGCCTGGAAATACTCACTCTCAACAACAGTGAATGGTTCATCATTGCAGACAATCCATTCAGCTAAAGTGCACTCAAACTTTGCCTGATCCCATGGACCCTATTTGATTACATAAGCAAGGTGTCATGAACCTTCGCATGATACATCATACATACCTGCTTTCCCTTTGCTTGGCGTGCAAAAGCTGCCATGATAGTATCATGAGAATTCATACCATCTGTCAACTCCTTCAGCTGCTGAGCTGTTGGAATGTTTGACCCATTGGTAATTGCAATTTCTTCATCGGTAGGCAGACGAGTCGAACTGTGCCTTTTGAGTGCCAAAAACAATGCATACATATTGGGAACCTTGGTGTGCAAGTATGTCTCAAGGCCTATTAAGATGTGACATCATCAGACACATAATGTTACATAGATTCAAGTACATACTGATTGTTGCACCCTTCATCTTCTTAGTGATTGTGAGGATATGATGGCTACCATGATAGCATTTGTAGTGCTTGTCTGTCAGCAATCCGGGCAATCCTTTCGAATTGGATCCCACCTGCATAAAAAAGAGAAGGATAGGCCTTGATACAGCCTGGAAGAATGATGAAAGGTAGGGAAACAAGAATAAAAGGAAAAGACTTACTTTATTATGCTGTGCTATCACCTGAGGGGTAATGTCAACAACATCATTGTCATTGTCATCACCACTAGCATTACCCGTGCCTTCTTTCTGCCTGTTTTGGTGCTTCTACAGGCAGTAATGTAAGATTATATAATAAAAAAAAGAATAGCAAGCTCACCTTCGTCCTTTTCTTGCTCTTTTTTGATCCAACCAGGCAAGGAAGTTGTTCGAGAAGGTCCTGAGTAATAGACAAAGGTTAGAGATATAATGAAATAAATGTAATGAACCATGTTTACTGCAGAATTTTCACTGCCTGACTCCTCTGTAGACTCTTCCTGAACCTCTGACAGGTCCACATCCAATGACTCATGGTCTGAAGAATCAGCTAGAGGCTGGAAGCAGTTGCTGTTTGCTCGGGGGTCGGCATTCTGAAGAACCTTTGCTGAATGTATACAGTGTCTCTTTTCGGAAAGAATGTTGCTTGTATCAACTTCTTCGTCCTTCTTGTGCTTGCTTTGCTTGCAAGAGACAAGCTGGAAACCTGTAGCTTCAGCCATAGTGGTTGAGAGTGAGTCTGCAATACTCTAAGCACCATCAACGAAAAAATGGCGTACCGCTTAGCGTCAACCTGAGAGACTTCTTCTAAGGAAATGTGTCAGGTCCTACAGACTTGACTTTCTTTCTCAAATTGAAAAAGGGACATCTTAGGCTATCAGAGCATAACCTATCTGGAAAAGAAGTAGATCTCATCTTGAAAGCTTGTCTTGTATGCACTCACTAGCAGTAGAGAAACTTGTACAACATCACAGCAGGAAATGCCCTGGTTCATACTCAGCAAGCCAGGCCATACATTCCTAATTCTCCTAGGACAACTTTGTTACCTTAGTACAGAGTATCTTTGCATACCAAATTTGTACACACTCATCTACAGCTAATAGGCTAAGTCAATATGTCCAAGCTTATACAGAATAGACAGAAAATCTTATCTAGTCAATGCTGGACATCAAGTTTTGAGCCTGGATATTATACAGGTGGGGGGGGGGG